GAATGAAATGATGACAGATTCTTTGTTCTTTTGGAAGTTTTTTTTTGGTTTGCTATTATTATTATTTTATTTTATTTTTCTTTTTTTGTAATTATTATTGTGATATAAAATTGAAAAATCCCCAAAATTAAAGTATAGGTATATGGTAACCATATTATATGGAAGTTGTAGGGTGCCTAACACCTTTCTCATGCTTAACCGACTCTCTGAGCCTCGTCAATTTGTAATACCCCAAAATTTTTAGAGCATTAAAGTGTGAGTTAAGGACCTAATTGTGAAGAAATATTATTAATAAACTTAATGGCAAAAATTTTCAAAGTTGAAGGACTTAAAAGAAAGGAAATGAGATAAGGATCAGCTGCTTTTTCTTTTTCTTTTTTCCCTTCTTTCTTTTCTTCCTCATCAAGCCGCGACCTGCTCTTCTTCTTTTCTCCCCAACAAGCCCCCCCAAGCTGCCGACAGTCCTCTCTTGAGGAATTGGCAAAAGCTTGCTACTTTTCTCCTCTTTTCTTGTTCAAGAACAAGATTTAGGGCCTAGAACTCCTTCTAAAGCCAAGGAATTTTTGGATCTGCTGCTGCCTTCTCTCCCCTTCTGCCGCCAGTTACTGCTGTGGGTAGTGGGTTCGGTTTTCTGGTAAGGAAACACCATGAACTTCATCTTTTTAACCTTAATTTAACTTGGGTTACTCTAAGTTCCCCTTGTTCCTTCAATTTTGGGTTAATTCTGCGAGTTCCCCTGTAGAATTGCCGTCGGCCTCTTTCACCCGCCAGGTCCGGTTCTGTAGCTGGAAAAATTCTGGTATGGTGACAACTTCTCTAAGTCCAATTTCACCCATTTAGCTGCTGTTTGAATTTCCCTGTATTGTCCGAAATTTGTTGAAAAATGGGGATGAATTCCGATAGCAATTAGAGCATTTTGAATGTGTTTTGTTGCTTAATTCATGTAGAATTTAATTGATTTGGGTTGTTGTGATGTTGTGTAGGAAAAATCTCGTGACTTAGCCATTGTTGGCCAAAGCCGTGGGTCTCCATTGCTTGTCTGGGAAATTGGAAAATTGGTATATATGTGTTTCCTCAAAAATCCTCAGCCGGCCTTTACCACGTAAGTTGGATGTTAGGCGTGCCACTTGCTTTGTCTAAAAACAAGAAAACAGGATTTTCCAGACGACCCTTCTCCTTTCCAGCGGTCGACCTCCAATAAGATGGCTGGAAAGAACGTTTGTGAAATGAATTGCGCCCCAGACGATGTTGCAAAACAGAGGGTAGAGCTCTGCAAAATGGGTTACTAATTGCCTTGGAAACCTCCAAGGACTTCACAACCAGACAAGTGGAATAAAAGCTACAAATCCTAAAATAAATGCAATATCCTAAAGCAATTAAACTAATATGAAGTAATTAACAGAAAATAACATGCCATAAAGATTAAATTCGCAGACAACAGAATAAGTAAAATAATAGACAATGATTTCAACTACGCAGCCCATAATGACAACTAAAATTGAAGAAGAAACTATGAAATGATTAAAGTCTGGAAACTTATAAATTTAAATCTGGAAATGGAAATTAAACAAACTGCATGTCTGGATATTGTG